TGCCGCTTCAGTCCTGGCATTGGTAGTCAGACCATTAAAGGACAACAGTCACCCAAAGGGCTACTCAGCAAAATTTTAGCAGCATTACATCCCCTGTATGACTAGACAAAACCAGCATCTCTCACAAAAACATGAAAAAGCTACTGCTTTTCTATGTCCACTTCTTTATCTCCATTTTATTTTTATTTAGGAAGTTACTCTCACTCCCCTCCTGCCCCCCAAAAAATGCATACACGCAAGCCAAGGTATTGCCTCCAAGGTGCAGATGAGACTGGCACATAGAAAAGGCACACAACATAAAAATTTCAAGAGTTAACAATGAAGTGGTCTTCTGGTGTACCAGGCCCTGCAACAAGACAGAATCTCTGCTGGAAACCAGGAATATGTCCACAGAACATGCTAATACCAATGGCACTTATTGAAGCAGGTACAGGAGAGTAGGATGCTGCACAAGCATTACAACAGTGAGTGAGAAAAAGCATGGAAAAGGATAAGCTCTACTCTGGTATGTGGACTGTTTGCACATAAGATAACAAAGTACTTGAGTAACTGGAACAAAGTAGAGGAGCCAAAACTAAAACTGTATCAAACATCTTAGAAATTGTTTAAGTAAACAGTACAAATCCAGAATGAACCAGATAACTGAAGGGCGTTTCAGGATCTCTGGGGGAGAGGAACCTTGCAAGGCCACTTGCAGCTAGGTAACCATATCACTAGTCCCATATAAAAGGCTGAGATTGCTTCAGTATCAGAAATACCTAATTGTGGTACAGCAACGCTGGGAGCAATGGAGTAGTAGTAATTACAGGCAGGTTGCTTATTTGGGTAGAGACTGAGTGGAGAAAGGAGAAAAGGGTGGTAGAAAAGAGTAGTGGAAAAGAGTTAAGAAACAAAAAAGAGAATAAAGTATGAAAAAAAATCGGAGAACAAGAAAGGGCAGGATCTGCAGGCAGCAGGAGTGTGACCCAAGCCCATTGGTATGCTGGAGGGAAACCCACCAGCCTCTCCCCTAAGTTTTGTCCTAAAGAACAGGTATGGAAGCACAGAGAAAATGGTGACAAAACCACAGATTAGCAGTAAGCAGTGTGAGAGGTTTGTGAAGAGAAACAGAACTACAATAACAGTTGCATGCAATAACAAAATTAAGATAAATAAAACTGCAATTTGGTAGTAATGGTGTGTAATTAGTAGTGGTGGGAAGAGCAACAGAACTGTTTATTAATCAGTTTGTTAGTGGTAGGCTGATTATTTAATAAACATTATAGCCTCTCATATCTGTTGCACCTCAAAACCTGCACATTAAAGGTGAGAGTCAAACGCTGGCGCATAGTCAGTGAGAAAGCTGGGGCCAGAATAAGGTTTCTCTGCTCCCAGTCTCCTGTTCAAACATGCACAGCATGCAGCAAACGTTTGAAATAATTAAAAAAAAAAGTAATAAAATACTCACTGCCACAGATTTAACTGCTTTAATTAGTTTCTTGCTTTCCAAGTTCTTCAGTATCTTGTTGATCTCCGTTAAAGGCAAATTACTTTTATATCTAATGTCCCTGCTCCAAATACCTGTTTTAAAACAGAGAAGTGAATTAAAATTAATAGAAGAAACCACTTGTTTCTGTACATACTCACAAACCAAAAGTCACAGTACAACATTGCTCAACTCGCTTGCCAACCATAGGATGTATCTTTGATCCTACCACTCTCACCAAAAGGGAGGGATGACACAGAAGGGGATGGAACAAAAAAAAAAAAAAAAACCAACTGACATACCACAACCACCACTCTGTCCTTCTGCCCTTTACCTCTCCTCTGAGAGCTCTTACAAGTGGACCCCATTTCACTGCCAACATGAATACATCACAGAAATGTGCTTGCATTTTTAGGCAACTAGTGTTTGCTTCCACAGAAAAATGACAGCCAGTTCTACCTGCCATCTCTCAACCACAGTGTGCAATGACTCCTGAGAAAGCCTAGTTACTAGCAGTGGTTTCTGCTGGCAGTACTCCTGTTAAATCTGATATATATATTACATTTTCTTTATGTAGTGGGTGTTCTGCGGATTCCTCAGCTTGACAGTCCCAGAGCTAAATAGCAGTTCATATTCCAAATATTCTGAAAGAGCCCCCCGCCTCCCAAAGTGAACCAGGACATGTTGTTATTTTAGTAGAGAAATATGTTTTCTTCTCTTTTGTTTTTAAAAAGTGGACACATGGAACATGTGAACCAGCTACAGACCTGGCATGGGGACTCTAGGTTTTCTACTTGTATTGTCTGGACAGGCATGTAAAAGTTTATACAGGAACGGTTCCATAAGTAAACAGAGTTAGTAACATTCAGAGTCATAATTTATTTAAACTACCTTTGTTGCCTGCATCTTCTATAATTTGGTAAACCAGCTTCTCTTGATTGTCAGAGCCTTTCATTTTACTGTAAAATAAGACATCAGGATTTTTGAAAGGTCCAAAATTTGAAAGAAGTTTGATTTGTTTTAAACTGAAAATAATAATATGAAAAAAAACAATGCTCAAAGGAAAAAAAAAACCCACCCACACAATAAGCCAGCCATTAGCAAGTATAATACATGACACTAAACATCTCTGGATCAAGCCAAGCTTGCCAGTGAGAAGCCACAGTAAAGAGAAGAGAGCACAGTATGAAAGAAAAGTGATTAAGTAGGAGTCACTCAACCTGTCATAACAATGGGGAATTCGGAGTCACGTATTAACACAACTGTGGAAGATCAAACACAGCATGGAGCATAATTTTGGATAATCTGTCTCTAGACAGAATGTCTACAAAGGGATAGTAGTGTGCTCCCAACTCTGAAACATGCCTTTTCACTGGTCTGAGAAAGCCTGAACTCAGCAATCTTTTTCTAAAGCATTTGAAAGAGAGGATGACATGCCTGCACTGAAGATTATTTTGAAGGGTATTTCTTCCCAGAAGTACATCTAAGGCATCTTTTGCTCAGATTTACATACGTATGACAAGGTTTGAAGACATGGTTTGAAAGTACATTTTAATAAAACAAAGAGCATGGCTAGCAGTTCAAGTGGCCCCTGGAACAGCTGTAAATATGAGCATTGATCCTATAAAATGAGCAGTGAGGAAGACCACAGAACCACAGTTTGCAGACAGTATGGTCGGGCTTCAGCTGGATTCCACCTGAGCGTATGCCTATATTTGCACAGACCCCTTTACTGTCATCTGGACCAGGAACTCTGCTAGCAAGTTAGAGCTATAGTCCCATGGCATCCTCTGTTCAGTAGAAACCACTATACCTAAACCAGTTTTCAGGATCAGCTCAGGGGAGCTAAGTGTACCCTCCTGAAACAAGCAGTTATGTTCTGTAACATCCATGTTACAGAACCCATATTACATTGCTGAGTGTCTTCTCAGCAATGCTGCACATGAGTTGCAGAACTGTGTTCTGAATATATCTATCCAGCAAACACAAGGCTTACCTTGCATTTTGAGACTCTTTGATTCTATACAGGAGACCTGCATTGCTCCTGAGAAGGTCCAGTTGCCCCTAGGAGAGATGGGCACAATACATTTACTTTCTTTCAAACAGCTTGTTTCAGAACATGGCAAGAATTTTCTAAACTTCTAAAATATAAACCTTATTTCACATCAACTGAATAAAGAAAAGGGAAAACTAACATTTCTAACCACTGGAAACAGTAATACCTTTAAGGATATTTTTTCCCCCCTACAAGTACAGCAATACCCTTGAGGACATTTTTTCCCCCTACAAATAATCACTTATCATCAGCTATCAGAAATAACAAATAGAGTTCCTGACCCTTACCACAACATACACGCACTTCCTATTATTTCTCCTAACTTTCACCCCTGCATGAGGGACGTGAAGTTCTTGTATACTTTGCTCTCCCATTCCACCAAAACACTCCTTTGCATGACTACCCAGAAATCATATTGGAGCTCTACTGAACAAGATGTGAACAATTCCGAGTTCCAGTAGCAAAGTTCTATTTTTTACTACGTAGAGATCATTGGAAAACTGCCAGCCAGGATCGACATTGCCTCAAATTACTGGCATTTCACACATACAAAACATTTGTTCTGCCCTTGACACTTGTGCCTAGGCCAGGCAAATTCTTATTTCCTATTTTGAAGAGGCAAGCAATTAGACAAGCCTAAGAGCATAACTGTGCATAATAGCATGACTTAACATTCACTCTTTCATTGCCAGCTAATCCTTTCCCCATAGTTACAGCCTTGTTTCTTATAGATTTGCATTACGTAGTTGATTGGAGCCCACATCTCACGACAATCCCCTTCAAATCTTTCCTAAGGATGAAGTACTTGCAGCTTATCTCAAGTAAAGCACACGATGCTTATTAAGGCTGAGCCATCACTGCAGTTTTTCCCCATATTTGAGGTACTCACTAGATCTCCCCACACACTCCCCAAGGCATCTATTTTAAACAAATTCTAGAGACTTAATTATCTTTGAAGCCTCGTTGTGAAATTTGACCAGCCCTTTCAAAAGTTATTGAACACACAAGCTCACATCCAATGTACTGATAAACCTCACATCTGTAACAGAAAGACCAAAAAGAGACAGATTAGGTTACTTCCACTGCCACCTAGTATGGTCCAAGTTAGAGAGTTTCAGTTATTAAAAAAAACCACCCAAAACACCACACCTTGCTCAGTTTGCATACTTTCCAACATACTTCTTCCTCAGAAAGCAAGTGCCCCTCTTTTCAACAGTGCTCTCTTGACTGCACCACTCAATCTGCTTTATTTCCTGACTTAACACACCCATGAAGCAGCTAGCTATGGAACTGAAAGGAATCTTGATCTGTAAAGACCCTGAACATTTAGCTGATACTCAAGTTTATGCCACACTGAACCAACAGGACTAAAGAGCTACTATTCCTGAACATGTGGCAGAAGCAGTTGACTGTGGTCCTTACTCTTCTCTTTGGCTGACTCTGATACAGTGAAATGTGGGGAATTTACAGAAGATGCAAAAAAAAAAAAAAATCCTTGAGATGTTTCACCTGCATGTTATCAGAGTAATCCACAACTTTGGGATTTTGTGAGGGGTCCGGAGAAGAACTTCACATGTAAGAGCATGGGCTAACATCCATTCTTTCACGTCTAGCTAATTCATTCCCCATCAT